TTTTTGTACCTATTTGACCAATATAACTGAACTGTAGAAGAGGGTAAAAGCCCTCTACAAACCCTAGTGAGTTCAACTCATGATGTCTCAAGACAGCGGAATTGTGACTTGGCTATGCCAGGCTATGCCAGTGCTTGCAAGCTTGTTTTATTAGCAGCTGCAGCACTTTATTTCAAGTGTAGTTCAACCAAAACAATATGTCTCGCCATTTTCATTTCCTATCCTCTCGAACCACTGATGAACTCTCTCCAAACGTTTTCTTTTCTCTACACTTTGAATTGCTCTTCTTTTGATGGCGTTTGTGTAAACTCTGTACCGACTGTAGCTCTGTACGCACAGACAGTAATGAGCAATACAACCTGTCAAATTCCAGATGGCTTAGGCTCAGAGTTCTTAGAAGAACAACTGAACTCCCCTGGAGCACTGTTGACGAAGTGGTGCAAGGGTGTGGGGCTGGTGAGGAGGCTGTCCTGAGTTGCAGCAGCCTTGCTGCAACTCCTTCTGGAAGGAAGCCTCACACGCAAGAATAAACGAGCCCTTTTTACTGCATGCACTGACACTGTAGACAAACGTTAGTCATTTACTTGGCCCTGACTAGTCAGCCTGGTCGCAACTAAAAACACACGGACCAGCTTCAGAAGGACCGTGCTGCATCTACCCTTCCCTTCCTCCTTCGAAAAATGCACGCTCTTCGTTTTGCACACACACACACAAATTATCTCGTGCAACAGGTTTTTTTTTCAGGTTAGTGTTTCTGAGTGCTATACTGGTTGTGAAATGACAGCGTTAGAACCACACCAACATGTATGGTATTGTATGAACGGGGGGAGGGGCTCCCCATGTTGCTCTTTTCTGCCTTAATAAAAATAATATACGCAAATTGCTGGCTAGACGAGTTGAATGCAATGTAGTAGAGGCATGCCTGCCAAGCACTTTAGCCGGACACCCGCCGTGATAGGCCTTTATATAGCTCAATATATATCCGGGCACTATTCAATATCGGGTATGCATCTTAAAAGACAAGTACTGCTGACCGTTTACATCTGCGCAGACAGAAATCCGGATCGAACGCGTTTTATGTAGGGATCGGTGCTAGCTATATGCTTCCCTCAACGAAAGAACCTCAGTGTTGGAGTTTTTCGTCTTCTTTTCAGGAGCAAAAACAAAAATTAAACACTAAACCACCATTATTTGCTCCCCGAGGTGAAGCATTGGCCTTGCTGATCGTGCTTACGTACACCCTAGCGTGTTAAGCCCCTGGCGCTCGTTGCCTTGAAGTGGCAGCATGCAGACGGTGTAGCGAATGCCTGCCTGGGCGGTGAGCAACCTAGCCGCAGGTGGTCTTAATGAATAAGAAAATATTTTCGGTGTTTAAAATCCGGAAGCCGAAGCCAAGGTGATTGTTTTCTGCCCATCAGAGGGCAAGGAAAGTGCCCATCTGGGAGGGCAGCCGCGGAGCCAACGGCCAAGGCCATCCGCATGACATGTCGATTTCAGTTCCACAGGTTTGCCTTCTTTTTTTTGTAAAAAAATCTGAAACGTGCGGCGAAATGCCTTGTCCATAACTATTTTGGAGCTGCCGTTTGGAGAGCCTGCAAACCACACCCACGCCCTCACAACACGTTGAACTGGGCTCGGTTATTTTCGTTGCTGGTTTCCTCTTCCCTTGTACGTAATCCCAGGTGTTTGGCTAAAATGCAGGCTTCTTCTGGCTCTCCCAATACGGACGACGCCTTAGTGGAAGGCGAAGCTGCAGCACAAGGTGCAGTGGCGGAACGTGTGGACTCGAGGGCTGAGGCGAATGGTTCTGGAGCTTATGACGAAAACCAAGAGGAGGGTTCAGAAGAGTATGAAGATGATGATTCGTTTTCCGTGGGTTTGCCCGTAGAGCCCCCGAAAAAAAGGGTGCCTGTTTTGATAGTGGGTTCGTTTTTAACGGCGTGGTTACTGTTGCTTTTAGCTGTGGCCTTGAGTTCGGTGAAGGGGGGGCGCAGGGCTTCGATGAACCTGCCTTTAGATGATGATTCTTTGTTGAATTATCGCGAGAGGTTCAGGGAAGGTGCAGATAAGCTAGAAGAAAGGTGGATGGGAGCCCCCGAGTCCGTAAAGACCAGCTATTGCAGATATTTCATGCCCTCAACCGATGACGGCAAATATATGAGCCCCGCTGACGGCTGGCAAGCTCTTCAGAGGCAGGTAAACGCAATGCACAGAACCCCTGCCCCTGATTCTTCCGCTTCAGTGGAGGATAAATGGAACTACGCGATGCAGCTGCAGCTCTTGACTTCTCTGTGCAATTCCGTAACACTACGACTTGGGGGTCTGGCTCAATTCGAGAGCAAGGCAGAGAAAGGGGGCTTTCAATTGTTGGGGCTAGGCAGCGAAGAAGCCCCTGATGTGGACCTTCCAACTGATGGGGATGACGAAGAAGGGATGCTGCTAAGTGAGTTCATGGACCTCTTGCCTGCACGAGGTCCGTACTCTCCTACGGAAGTAGAAGGAGGGGGAACTGTCCCTCGTCATTTAGCCACTAAACTAGGAAGCATGGTGGAGGCGATTGACGCGCGCACTCAAGAGGACCGATACGTAGGATTTCGTTGGGATGGCTTCGTAGATGCTTTCGGGGTAGTGTTAGAAACCGCAGCAGATGAAGAGTTCAAAGATCCCAAGCCCATCACCTCCCCAGCAGACAGAATCCCTGGAGACGCCAGGCTGCTTATTCGTGCCTTAGGCGAACAAGTCGAGAAGGCACCAGATAGAATGTGGACTCCGTATGTCCTACAAGCGTGCGCAGAGAGCTGGGATGAAAACACCGTAAAAAAACTGTTGAAGGAAGTTCAAGAGGGAGAGAATGAAAGGGCCGCAGCACGTGTAGTCCAAAAGAGAGAAATTGTGGAGCAATCCGCATTAGAAATGCCTCTTGGGAAGGAGCATGTTGTATCCTTGGCTGTGTTCTCGATATAATGCCTTCTCAAGAAAGTTGAACGAGGAAAGCGGAGAAAGGCGGGGGAACTGCTGAAATTCATGCAAAAGATAAATACCGTGAAACGACCCGAAATAAAGGTGAATGAGGAAAGCGGAAAAAGACGGGGGAACTGCTGAAATTCATGCAAAAGATAATGGGATATGATTGCTTTCTGCATTTTTGTTGCAATGCCATTTCAAAACAGTTGCTGCAGGTTTGGTGGCATTCATGATGGAGAAAGTTATTCACTTTGTGTGTACAGCTGCAAGCTCTCTTTCTGGGCTCTTGCGCTTGCTTGCAAGCCAAACAGGGAAAAGAGGAGGTGACTCTGTCCGCGTGAAGTGCCGAAGATGGGCATTGGTTAAAAATTGCGCATTTAGCATTACAACAGGGCGGAGGACCCTCTCAGCGGCTTGAATATCCGTATTTGTTTAGGTTTCTTACATGTCAGTAAGTTGCATTTATATTGTCCTACACATTCCCTCCTGAGGAATGAGTTCCCACTAACGCTCAGTTGCCTTTGAATTCTCTTTGTACCACCGACTACGACCATTTGTTTGTTTAAGCCAATGCCCTCATTGCTCATGTGTCCGTTCACAAGGCCTCTCGAAACAACACCAAGTGAAAACTCCGCCACCGTTTCACCGTCCAGCGCACACCACTGCGAAGTCATTTGTGCTACAGTAGCACCGGAGGGCACAGCACTCCTAGAGTAGAGCACGGGGGGACATTTGTTTGATTTACTCTCTTCTTAGCGCTGACCAGCGGCTTTAAATTATGTTAATTAAAAGTGGAGCTTATTGCATTCCTGCGTTCCATTTAAACCTGACGACAAACTCGCATGCACTTGCCCTTCCTAGTTGCACGTGGCAGGTCTGGCCGCTTTGCCTGTGCAGCTCAGCTTTGAATGAGCAGCCCCTGCACAGCAATGCAAAGGTCGAACTGCTGAGAAATACTTCATGTATTATACTCACCATGCACGATATACTGCTGTAGAGATTCACCTGCTTGTGTGGGTGTGTGTGGGTACGTGGGTATCTGTGAGCTGCACTGAGTTTGTACATTGTTTATTTCGAGTTGATGCATTATCGTGAGAGCAGAAACGCCAGTACGGACGAAATGCCATGTCATTATGCAATACGCAGCAACAGGGGGTTTGCTCTGCTTCTCAATCATCTAGCAACCTAAAGAGCAGCTGTTTCTAATTTTGTCTAGAGTGAGGTGAACGCATCTATTTATTTAGATGTATTTTTATGAAAAGCAGTGGCAACTTCATGCGCTGTGCAATGGAAACACAAACTGCAGACGCGTTTGTTATGCTGCTTTCTCCACCGCACTTTCGTTTTCCCTTCAGATACTGTTGTTATACTTTTTGTTGCTTTGCAACATCTTGGCTTTAAATTGATTGCACATTTTATGCACGTATCCCAGTGAAGGTAGAGGGAAAGCGGCCGGTACTTATGACACCCCACGTATGAAAATAAAAATAAGTCGAATTCTCTTTGGAAAACACCAAATATATGAAAATCAAGATTCTTTTTTGTCTATCGAGACGCTCTGTAGTCTTAAGTTGCATTCGGAGCTGCCTACGCCTCTCTTTCCCGCTTATTTCTCTGTTGTTTGTCTTCATTTCGGTTGCTTAGTTGATGGACTAACGACTTTGATCGGCCACGTCATGCGAACTTGAACTTGATTCCGCTGGCAGTTGTTCTTGTTCATCTTCTCCGCATGCACCCGCACTTTGCTGCTGCGCCACTTCAATTCGGGTCAACACCAACTGCAGCTGCAGCAATGCACACTCCCACAGACCCTAAACCATAAACCCTATACCCTAGGGCTGACGCTCACGAGCTCACGATACGCACGAGAGCCACTGCTGATAATAAAGCCAGCCCTGATATCAGAATTAGCAGGGATGCGCTTTCATGTTAGGGTTTAGGGCTCAGGGTTTAACATACGCGTTCCCTAGCCTCCGTCGCCTCCGGCAATATGCGCTGCGAATGCGTTTCCACGGTGGTCTTTATTTGTTGCAACAGTTCGTTTCTGCACAGGGCCGAAAAGCAGTACAAACCCTAAACCCTAAACCCCTAACTCCCAACCCTTACAATACAGTGAAGAGCCTCTAATCCCCGTTTCTAAGCCCTGGGAAGTAGCCAGCCGAAAGAAAGGGATAACGCTATCCTAGGTGGTAACAGTCCTCCCGTCTGGTGCTTGGTTTCTAGGGTTTAGGGTTTAGGGTTTGTGGTTTAAACGCACCGTCGTTTGCTCTTGGGGCTAAAACCCTCCAACAACGCCAGCGTGCGTTCTATACAAGAGACTTGCTTGTTTGCCAATTCGAGCAAACGCTCATGCTCCACGTTGCTGCGGGTCGCTTCGGCCTACAAACAAACCCTAAACCCTAAACCCTTAGCCCTAAACCCGAAACCCTAACTTTAGCGGTTGACACACCGCAGTTTCCGGCTGCAGCATGCATGCGTGGGAGTATGATTCAGCCTCTGAGAAAAAGGGTTTAGGGCCTAGGGATTGTGCGGGCACCTGCAGGCAGCGATATTCTTTGAGCCAATTGAATACGCTTTCTGCGGGTTTGTTTGCCTTTAAGAGGAGCACCCCGTAAACCCTAAACAGCTCTGCTGAGTCTGAGATATGTTGGGTTAAGAACTGCAAACAACTGAGGGTGTGGCGCAGAACACCCGGCATGGTTTGCTCGGGTGTATGTACAGCCGAACGCTTCAACTCGAACAAAACCAGCTCCTCTAAAAAGGTATATATCCAGGGGTCGATGCGGTCCTTCTGAAGCAAACACAAAGACACACGAACTATGCATGTTTCCATAAACAAGGGTTTAGAGCTTACGACTACCATCAGGGTGTAGAGCGACAGCTAAACCCTAAACCCTTACAGACATGCCTGCACGCAACGAGCGGTTAAAGGTAGGGGATTTGAGGTCAAAGAACTATGCTGTTGAGGGTTTAGGGTTTACAGCCCCAGCTAGCCAAAGCCCTAACGTCTCCCCACTTAGCCCAAAAACCCTAAGCACAGCACTAGACCCAAGACCAGCCATTTGGCGCTTAACGATCCTCGCTCGAAACCCTAAGCCCTAAGCCCTAAACACTAAACCCTAAACCCGAGACGATAAGCATTAAACCCTGAAGGCTAGACCGCAGAGCCTGGATGCGGCTCCCTTTCATCCTGCTGAGAGTTACTGGGGCGTTATTGCTTTTGCATTGTTGTGTTTGAAGGTTTAGGGTTTAGGGTTTAGGGTTTGGCTGACAGCGTTGATCTGAACGAGGGTTCGGAGACCGCGAGAGATGGCCTGCACGTCTCTAAGACGAACAGAGATAGAAATAAAGGTTTCCCAGACCCTCCAATTCTCTCGCTTGTATTTTGCTGCCTCTAAAATGCAGTGCTGCGCAGCTGACCACGCGTCTCGCTGAACCCCAATGCACACATCGCACCTTATTACGGTTTAGGGTTTAGGGGTCGTGGACAAGGGTTTAGGGTTTAGGGATCGTGAACAAGGGTTTAGGGTTTAGGGATCGTGGACAAGGGTTTAGGGATCACAGTCTAGGATGGAGTTGTTACAGATCTGGGTCTAGGGTTTAGGGTTTATAGGGTTTAGGGGGTAGGTATAGCTGTTTAGGGTTTAGGGTTTAGGGTTTAGGGTTTGACTTTGCAGTGGACGGCAGCGAGGTTTGCCCATGCATCTCCATCTTCAGGATCTATAGCTAAAGCTCGAGCAAATGCATTCCTTGCTTCTTCTAGCTGCTGCATTTGCAAGCAGCAGCAACCTAAAGTAAACCAAGTAGAGCTGTTCAAACTTGCTGCTGCTGCTGCTAATCTTAGTGCTGCTGCTGCTCTCTCCAGCTGCCCCATAGACAGCAGCAAACGCCCTAATGACCGCTGCGCCCGCGCGTAGCGACACCCCGAAAGAGCCCTGAAGCAAGCACAACGAACAAATTAAAGAAAATAAATTTAAAAAATTAAATGAATAAATAAAATAAATAAAGCAAACAAACAAACAAAACAAACAAATACAATTTACAGCACAAACAAATACAAAAAACACACGCAAATACAACACAACAAACAAACAAACAAAACAAGAAAAAACAGACAAACAAAACAAGAGAGGCAAGCAAATGCAATAAAACAAACAAACAGAACAAAGTATATACAAATGCAAATAAAAACAAAGATAAAAACCCTAAACCCTAAATCCCTAAACCCTAAAAAACCAAATTAGGCTGACGATCAAAAAAGGACAAAAAAATAAAACCCTAAAAACCAAAACCCTCATGCAAAACCCTAAACCCTCGACCCAAAACCCTACCCCCCACAAAACAGCCTATACCCTTCCTAGAAAACCCTAAGCCCTCGCTACTAAACCCTAAAACCCTACAAAGAAACCTAAGCCCGTCACAAAAAACCCTAAATCCTACAAAATCCAAAACCCCTCACAGCAAACCCTAAACCCTCGGCACTAAACGCAAAACCCGCTGCACTAAACCCTAAACCCTCGGCTAGACCTCCATCTCTAACGAGAACACGAAAGACTTGCGGTCGTCCCCAGCGTGATTGCAGGCCACAAACCCTAAACCCTCAGGCGTAAACCCTATGCCCTAAACCCTAAACCGTAGACAGCCCAGCAAACCCTAAACCCTTGTTCGCGTAACTAACCAAGCCTCCTTGTAGAGATCTTCCGCTCTCTGTCGGTTTTGGGGGGCTTCCAAATCTCCCAGTGTACATAGAAGGTGGGGGGTTGGTCTTGCTGCGATTTGCTTCTCCAGCTGAAAGACCCAAACCCTAAACCCTAAACCCTTAACCCTAAACCCTAAACCCTAAACCCTAAAATACCCCTAGGCTACACGCCGCAAACAAACGAAACAACATCAGGCAAACAGAAAAACACTTAATGCTAATAATGCCTCTGCTCCCGAACGGTACTACCGCGAGTGATGCCAATTTGTGTTGAGGGTTTAGGGTTTAGGGTTTAGGGTTTAGGGTTTACAAGGTCTCGAGCATCCG